AAAAAAAAAAAAAAAAAAAAAAGTATCTGATAGAATATACATCTGGGAACCAAATGTATCACAGAAAATAGTCTCACTGGAAACCTATCAACTTTTGTCGTGAATGAATTCCTGTTTTATTTAGACAGATGTTTTAGTCCATATGAATTTAAAGAGAAATGTGAGTACATACGCACAGGTGTGTTTTTCATACATTCCAGGTTGCTGGATCCTTTCCTTTTAATACGACGTTGATTGTTCTCCAGTTCTTCTAATTATGTCTTAAAACAATTTCTTTTCCCTCTTAATTCACATTTACTTTGCTAGGTCATTTTCTTTGTGTATTTTATGGATTAAGGGCAGAATCCATAAAGGATGGCTGAGATGAATGCTGTGAGGATCTCTGAAATAAATGACTAGCAAAACAAGGGATGTAGAATTCTCCATCTGCTGGAAAGGAGCATCGAGCCTTGTCTAGAAAGACGGAGCCATCAAACATTAGCCTAAAATGTAGGGATACTGGGATACCAGCCGTTACTTTATATCTCCTGATCTGGAAATGAATACTCTTTGCACTGTACTCCCAAAATTTCTGAGGGATATTTTTGTTTTTTATTATAAATGATGAGGTAGGCAAAAAGTGACGATTGAAAAATGAAAGAAATGTTATTTAATTATCTAGTTCATGTTAACTCTCATGGGTTATAATTCAAGGGACCCATTATTCAGTTGAAATGTACCACGTATTATAACTTATATTACCACAAATACAATTTCTAGAATGTTTCAATTAAAAAGAAAATAAGTAGAAGATTTTGTTATTAATATTTTAAAGACCTAATGTTTTAGGTCTTACAGTTGAAAGAAGTTCAAGCCACTCATAGATAGTATATGTAGTAATAGATTTTATAAGTCCTATATTAAAACTCACGTATTAATTTTTACATTCATCAGACTTACAAAAAATGTCCATGAATCAAGAAAGAGGATATCCAAATATATGTCAAAATATAACTTACCATTTATAATTTTATCATTTATGTGCCTTCTTTCTTCACATTTTACTTCCGTTTCTGTTTTTGGTCTGGGTCCTTTCCTTTGAACAGCTTATAAATAAGACCAGTATCATGCAAATTTGTTATAAAACATTTATGGCACTGGCTGAGAGGCAGAGAGCAGAGATATTCTACTAGGGATACTGAAAGATCTTTGGAGAATTATTACAAAAGAAACATAGTTATTACATGTGCTGGGATGTTAATAAATTCTAAGGAGTTTAATAAGTGTCTCAGAACTTTCTATGGTGTATAGATAAATTTCAAATTAATAAAGAAGTTTGACGGGTACTTATTAGGTATTCTATATTTAGACAGTTTAAATAGCCTTGCTTGACATACCTGTAAGGCACTGTGCCCTCCTTCCTGAATTTTATTTTTAACTTCTTACTACTAGTACCCACAACTGATATGATTTGAAACACTTTTAAACATCTCCAGGATTCAGATTTAATGAAATTTTATTGAATTACACTCTATTAATTCTTAAGTTATGGAATATTTCTGTTTTCCCCACTAAAATGTTTTATTCCAGTTTTCTATATTTATTGCGAGTTAAGAAACTCACATGTCATTTGCTCTGATCCGAGCTTTTTGTGCATTAATTTTCTTACTAACCACATACTTTCATTAAGCAGCTAACATGGCACTTTTAATGTGGGAGGCTCTCAACAGATATTTGTAAAGCGAATGAAATTTCTTGAGTCGACTATATTTAACCTAGTTCAAGTACAGATACTCATTATTCTTCCTAGTAGGTCTATTAGTGTGTATGTAAATACATTTGTGTGTATGTGTATAAACACAACTGTAGTTCATCTTTAAGAACTCCATTTAAGAACTCTTATTTTAAGAACTCCAGTGTACCAAATGTTGTGCAAGAATCTCTAGAGACCAATTGTTACATAACGGTAGACCTTTGTTCCAGGCTAGAAAATGTGGAAGAAACTTTGCAAATAGAAAAGGAATAGACTTCACATATGAAACCGAGTAACTATAATTCAAACAACTTGGCCTTTACTTGGCTGTGATTAATGATCTGTGTTAATAAATTATAACAAAGGTTTTTCTTAGTGAAAGAACTTCAACTGTCATTGTTATTTTAAAGGGATACATTGGAATGATGGCAGTTCTGGAAATAGCTTTTTTTTTTTCAACCATTCTTCTTAATCTAAAGTGCATACTAAATGAGACACCATTAGTGTCACAGATGCTAATTTTCACTAGCAATGACTGAAGTGGCATTCTCTCCCATTTGCATTTGATCCTAGCAATGATGAGAGGTGATGAGTTGATTATGAGCTGTTTTCACTGCACTGCCCGCTGTGCAAATTTATGCTCCTAGACAAAAATGACACATAGTTGTGGCATTAAAGAGCTTTCTTCATTTTTTTTTTTTGTATGGGGACTATTACATTTTAACTCTTGTCTAACCAGGAAAAGAAAAGGAAGAAGTATTTACCTAGGCAATTTTCCAAGGGAATCATGTCTACTGTTTTACTTAACCATCTCAAGACCTCTGTGAGGCAGACATTACTTAGATTTCCAATGCACAGGGCAGAGAAAAGTCCTGTAGATATAAAATATTTTCCCCAAGTTAACAAAGCTAGTTAAAAAAAAAAAAAAGGATTTGGAAGTTATGAGACAGCTTTTCTGCTTCTAAGCATACGGCCCCTTTCCTCTCCTCCTTGTTGCTTTTTCATCTGGGGCATGTATAATTTTTGTTGAATGTTTGGCTTTTCAAACAGTTATCTGAATATACATGATAGAAAGTATAGGTCATATGATGGAGTCACATTTTTTTTCCAGTTAAAAATGGTGAGTTTTAATAACTTTATTTTTACTTTTGATTATCACCTCTGCACCAAAAAAAAAAATTGCTGAAAAGATTCCCTTCATTTTTATATTTACTCAGTATTTGTCATATTTATTTCTCAGAAAATATTTGAAGTAACTTGCAATGCAAATGGTGAACTTTTAGGAAGGTTCCACGGCCCAGCACCATTTCTGCTTTCAGTTAGTACCTGTATTCCAAGAAGAAATGGCCCATCTCGCTGATCACAGCCACCAGAAATTCACCTCAAAATTGATGTTCCAATTCCCAAGGGCTTCTGGGAATCCACGAAGAATATGATTTTCTACTGGATTTAATGTCAACTTTGAGGTCACCTCAAATGGCTCATTTTACCCTGTTTCATTGATTTAAAAAGTCAAATAATTTTTAGCTTTGAACTTTTCTCTCCAAATAAATCACTAATTCATTTTAGCATTTCTATTTTATAGAATATGAATCTGTAATGGAGGTTTATCCCAAGCTGACAGCAAAAGTTTTGGGGAC